TGCAAACACTGTGTGTGCGACCGAGAGCGTGGATCCTGTTGACAACTACATGACGGCCTTATATTGGCTCTCTCGGTCGATCGGCTCGTACCCTCGCACAATAGGCTACTCACAACCACCTACCTTCCTGTATCCTTTAGTCAAAATCCAGTCCCTAATTTCTGAAAGGTAGGCGATGTCAACAAGTGGAACAGAGCTACGTGGAGAGAGCTTTAAGTTGCAACGACGGAACGTCCATTACAATTGACTTATTTTCAATAGTCAAAAGAGTTCGGCTGCATCTTCTACTGGCTCTCGATTCTATCAAGATGTCTCCGATAGCCTCAGGCACATTTCCACCGCAGAATGTCTTATAAAATGCTTACTTTTTTGGAGCGTACAGACAAGCCAGTCACCGTTCATGTACAGCGTTCTAAGTTTGTATCTCTGTTGTCTGGTAAGAAATCTGTCACTGTTTTTCTTTGACTTTTTTTTATATCTATCCATATTCCGTCCTTTCGCTTCTGTGGCATTCTCCGCGGGCAAGAGCGAAACGGCAAATAGCACATAAAAGATATCCTTGTCTTGGTCGTGTCGTGAATAAACAAACCCGTAAAGAGAAGCTTGAGAGGCGAAAAGTTGTATGGAAAAGAATTCGATCGCCATTACATGTATAAAAGCATCAACGTTTGCACGACGGACAAGATCTTTATGCAACTGCTCCGTGCTCACGGACAACGGTGCTTATGTTGCTAAGATACTCGGAACAGAACAACGCCTGATATAACAGAGATTCGCACGCATTACATGAGCATTGATATACTATTATATAAATGGCGCATACATGCGTAGCGTATACTGGCACTGTGCAATCATAATGGCGTCACATTAAAACTTTCTAAAGCAATTTTCTGCATTTTGAAGGCTGAAGGAAAAGCAAACAAACGAGAAAGTTGAAGTATCGGAGCTCAATAGTAGAAAAAGCAGACCCGACAAGATAAAAGAAGTTTCTTAACGAAACGACACTGTTTCATATCATCAACCCAGACGTTTTCCCATAACTCCCATTTCACGATACTTTTAGCGATCGCCAAGCACATGAACGTTTACGTCGACCCTCGAAAATAAGGGCCGAGCTCCTTTATAATATGAGACAGAAGCTCGACTGAAGAGGACTTGCCTCTTAGTGACTCCTTCTGCAGTAGCTGCTTGTTAGAACTTGCGACTCAAAGGGCCACACGTTCATTGACCTCAGCGCGTGCCTTCTTCGACATTTTCGTACAATAACAGCGAAGTTAAGTACTTATAGGGAGGTACACCGACCAACTGACAAGCGGGTAGGGACGCTACGAGTGTCTTCGCCCAAGTGAGACCGATGGCTGACGGAGAAGGCAGTGAATATGTCGACTCGGTTTAAAACAGTGTCGATAAAACGACTGGTTTGTGTCGCCTGAAAGCCGGTTGTGACTGGACTTATGGTCCTGCGCGTCTGCTATCGACGATCTGCATACTAGAGTCTTCGAAAAAAGTACGTGAATTATACTCTATGTTAAGGAAAAAATTAGGCTCTTACGGTTATGCAAAAGACTTTATCGGATCAGACTACGGGCCAATTTCGATACAAGTGGTACTAACGAATTTACAACGACCGAGAAAGCGTTGAATACAACCGTCAGCTTGCCAGAGCGAGTGCAAGTCAGAATCTAAAAAATACAAAATAACTTATGCCGGAGTACCGCTAAATAATCCTCAGAAACCTTGTAGAAGAGATAAATCTATCTCACATTTTTGTCGGACAATTTGCAAGGATGTTTCGAGGCAAGAAGGTTCACAAGATAGATTACATCGAAGAACCTGAGTTCCTAAAAACCGCGGATTTATCAATAGTTAGCTCAGAGGAAAAGCCACATTTTCTCCAGCCGTCATTACCAGTGTGAGTCGTGGATGTACGCGTATTATGTGAGGACACGAGCATGGTCGTTTGAGTATTTCTTTATAGGCGACTCCAAACCGAAGAGATCCGCAATAAAACTCAAACTGCTTCTCACCATAGTATGGGAAAATTGTGCCTATAAATTCATGCCGGATGTACTTTTGTTACTGAGAAATATTACCAGGACGTTTTAAGGCGGCCAAAATAAAGCTCAACTGCTGCTGCAAAAAAGTGGGTTTTTTACCACAATAATGCACCGTATCACAGGCTGTTCCTTGCCTTGGGTCCTTTAAAGAGAAGCTCAGTGGTTACGCTGCCTTACCACACAAAGCCCCTGTACTTTGTCCTTTTTCCAAAGATCAAAGAATGTCTGATAGAAAGAAATGTAAGAAGAAACCGGACGATTTAGCTCGAAAACCGAAAAATCACACGGGAATTTACTTTAGCGGAGATTACCTTAAAGAGGGCAACTGGTATTTAAACGACTAAGGCTTGCACAATTGGTATAGAGCCGAACTCTTGATACCTTCCGGACCCAATAGTAAATCGCTGTAATTGCATTTGGCACTTCTAGGGCAGTTTGTACAGTAAGCAGTCTCGCGCCCAACGCCTTGAAGGCTTCCGGTTGTTCTTCTATATTGATGAAACGAAGCGGTCGCGATGTCATCGTATTTAGCGAAGTTACGGTTTTCGCCGTCGAGGCACTCGTCTCCGGTGTCCGAGAAGAAGATGTAGAAGCAAGTGTGAGAAGCCTAGCTAATTGGGTGTTATTCGTTTTAATCGTAAAGATAGCAACAGACAGCAGGCGGGTGGTTTTAAGGCCGTACGACATTTTGACGCAGACAGACGCGACACCAAGCAGCCGTCTGATCGAACAGGGTGATGATGTTGAGGCTGCTAATGACAATGAGCATATGACTCGGAACGAATATATGAGTACTTGTGCGCCTCTGGCATTAAAGATATCCAGTACTAAGATTGATACGATATTGCCTTACTTCAGTTTCCTTGAACGCTAGACGTTAAACTTTACGTCACCACCGTCATATTTACGTCATAAATACCACCGTCAGGCATTACATTATACACTATTTCACATGTTGCTATTACCACTGAAACAGGTTAAAAAAATTCAACTTTTACATGCAGATTCGCGTCACTGAAGGATCGCTCTCGTTATATTACAATGAACGGCTAAACACCATCTTCCGTTGCCACTAGACATGTTCGTCCGCTTGTCACCGGCCATGCCTCCATCTTGACCATCCAATAAACAACTAAACAAATCGACAAACGGGCCCCCACCAGGGGGGTTTGCTGAAAAAAGTTGTAAACGACATAAGGCGGTAGCAGGCCGTTATAACTGGCAGAGACGATGGAAAAGTACGATGATGAGTAGAAGCCTTTACACTGTTTACCGTACCGGCTTCTGCATAGCTGCTTACTCTAAACGTATTTCTTCACGGACACACAGACGTGTGGGCACACGAGCCTTTAATGATGTATAACATGCTTCACCTTCTGTAAGGTGTCGTGGAGGTACTCGTTGTGTTTGTCGTCGTTGTCAGTGGCACGCGTCCCCGAGTGTTTACTTCTGGGATGTCTCAATTTTTCCTACAGCGAAAGAACAAGCGCTATTTTTTTATATACAGTGCCATAATGCAGGTAGACTGCCTTGTCATTTTGCCCTGTAGAGGGACTCAGGAAGTTTTTATAGAATGTAGCATAGCTTCATTCGTTTGTTGAATAGCAAAAGATACCATTAAAATAGAGAAAGATTTAACAACGGTATGTTTGTAATAGTACTGGTCGTTGTTAAGTGCTTTAACGAACTCTCCAAATGAGATTGCGCTAGGAAGCTAGACGAAAAAAAAAAGCAGTTTCAGTTAAAGACGCCTAAATGATTTGTTAAAATTTTTCATACTATTATTGTCTCTGCGACTAGAAACTCAGCTACAATTCAATGCTGAGGTTCTCTTTTTCGGAACTAAAATATTTACTGGTCCTAACATACCCCCTAACAAGAACATCGAACGTCCAACGTTATGGGATTTGTGGGTTAAAAGCACCAATTCACCAAAAAAGTTCGAGATGACCATCGATTGCAGTGTGCGTATATGTATATTAAGGTACGGCTGATTACGCACACCTTATAAACGTAATTAGTTCCAGGCTGGCCAACTTGCACTGCGGGCCATATGTCCCGTCGAGAAAAGCACTGCTACGTTGAATAACGTGCCTTTGATGTTACTACTACTCTAGGGTAAGAAGCCGGCGAAAACGGCCTGTGCCCTATTTGATACACATGCGTATGTTTCCCCTGTGTAGAGCAGCTCTGTGTACGAACTCGAGAGAAGGCAGGTCATGCATAAATGGATGTTGGGCTTAAACTGTTGGTAGTAGCTATAAGTAGCGTCTGAGTGTAGCGTGTCGCAACTCCTCAACTAGCAAATGTTCTATATCAGAATGTTGCTTGAATGGTGTTTTTTAGTAAAAATATTCGGCTAAATCAGTTGGATCTTTTTGTATCTGAAACGCTTTTTCGCATTTATTAATGATGAAAATAATTAGAACTTTAGATTTAATCTGGAATTGAAAGCGACAGCAGAAACGTGCTTACTTGATCCGAAACGATGCTTTTCGAGTTTAGTATGCTGTTAACATGTAGCATGCAATTCATTGCTCCGATTTACGATAGTTTCCTTCCGTCGTGCGTCCGATGACACTTCTGAGAAATAGCTCGCAACTGAAGGGAAAATTAGCAAGCATTTCGTACACGGTTGACAAATATTAAAAATACTAAGTTTCATTTTTATACTTAAAATTATTTGGGATCAGTAGCATGGAACGCGCGAAGAAAAGCTCATAATTTTATGTACTAGCTCAGCTCTAAGGCGAACTCAATTCGTATAAATCATTTATTGCAAAACGTGCCATACGAATGGGCACATCCGGTGACAGTTGTCGTTCAGGCACGCAGAGACGCACAACAGAAGATGGACGAAGAGTGCAGAAAAACGAGACGACGGGCGTTATAGTAATTGTAGCTCCTCGCGACTAATTTTTTTTGTTTTTTGTTACAATCGAGATTGCAGAACCGTAGACTATACCATGTAGTTTGTTGTCTTTTGGTGCGATCGCCTCCGTGGACTGGCGGCTACCCCCAAAAAAAAGCCCCTCTCAACTATGCGACGGTACAACCACAGGGAGGACTCTACGATTCCGTACGAATGTAATGGTGCCAGGACTAGCAGTGGTAGCAATCGATACGGTCGAACCTATAATGCCAACACGTCCACGGAAAGGTTGAACATTAGAAGCGATTCTGGAATCCGTTACGTTGGCTTCTGCGTTCGCAAAACGCTCAGCTATCGTTGGCGACAGCGTTACGTTCCTAACGCATATAACGCTCGGAAAGCCGCTACCTGCGAAAAGATTAGATGTCGGTCAAAAGGGGAATATTTAATTGCTGTTCAACACAAGCAGTACTACACTTCATGAACATATCGATACAGGAAAGGCGCGCGGCTAAGGAGAGATCCCTACGAATCACTGAATGGCAACTTGGTCCTAATAAGTCAAGTGCGTCTGAGTGCAGGAAAAAGGACTACTAAATTGGATAATTTTTTTGTTCCACAAAGGTAAGACATATCGGCGGCTTACGTAGATAAAATTCTACATAAACGTAAAAGTGCTACTGAGTTGCCTAACGTTGGAACATCTGTAGCATACCAACTATTATTTTCAATGTATTGGAAATTCTCATTTTTATTGCATTTAAGTGTTCTAATATGTAGTTTGTTAAATCGACAAATTATCAACATGTCGCGAGCGCAGAGCCTTTAACCGGAATAACGATACTAAGAAGTACATGCAGTTTACTTAGATAGCGAACCGTTACGTGGTGCTACGTTTTGAACAATTCAACTTCATCAAGGATTAGCAGGACACACTATTTGAAATGTACTTCACTGAAAGAAGAGGTTTATTATTTAATGAATCTCTGCACAGATCAGGTAAAAATTGACGATACCCCGTCAAACATCAGAAAGTTAGATGATAAGGCTAAGGATGCTAACCTTGATTCGAACTTTTCCTCGATTTCAGCTACATGTTTACCATTTTCGCCTATAATAGGCAATCTAACGCGAGTCCTACCAGTTTACCGAGCCACATCAAAAGCCCCATAGGCTCTCGAACAGGACCCAAAATGCTAATCTAAAAAAAGATCATAGAAAACATTTCGAAATCTTTAGAAAGTCGGGGCTATCTTTCGAGATGCAAAACGTTTTTGTTATCAAGATGCTTAAAGGAAAATAACTTATCTCTCTAAGTATTAATAGTTAACTAATGAAACTGAGGGAAAAAGTATTTCCTGTGGTTTTCCTCCGTGGCGTTGATTTTCATTGTGTATAGCCTTTTATTTAAAACACATGCGTCGTTTGTTCCAAATTGAAGAATATTTATTTCACTATGCTAATTCACGTTGTCCTTTCTGTAAAAGTTAATGCCGGATGCAACACACGTATGCGATCGTCTTTTCCAGTCCGTAAAATACTTTTCAAATTTGAGTATCGGTATAGCGTTCGTCTTAGCTCACACCATCTTTTTATCGTGTCGAAACGCTTCGCGTTCATCATTTTCTTTTGTTTTGAGAATAGAAAATATCGCAGGGGATCATAACCAACGAGTGCGAGGGTAGGGGGCAATGCGGTAGGCATATCGAGTTTGTTTGCAAAATTTCTGTACGAGTGGTCAACTGTGGGCCGGTGCATTATTACGATAGAGGAAAAACTCTGAATTTCTTGCGCCACGGTTCTGGTCTCTCGTCAGACAGGGCAGAGCAATCGGTTTAAGTCTTCTTGAAAATACTTCTTAGTAACCATGGGGTCGGATGACATAAATTCGTAATAAACAATTTCCCAACTATCGAAGTAAGCCGTAAGGAGCACTTTGCTTCTGTGTATGGATCGCGGACTTTTTTCAGTTCAAGCTCATTATTGAACTGATACTACATCCGGATCTCTTTGTCGCAACTGCACACTTTTGTGTGATCACCTGTAAGATGTACTCAAGCAAGTTTGACCCTCATAGAAGTGCCAACGGACTTTCTTGACACGGTCCCTAGAGATTACCTACCTGGCCGACATTCAGCTGTTTTGGCACCAGCCTAGCTTTAGGCCTTCTGACGTTTAAATAGGTGCTCAAAAAGGGCCCAACATGAGCCAGTCTCTTGTCTTTTCCTCTTCTGCTAACTCCCTTTTGGTTCTTTCTTGGTTCAGCGATTGGCAGGCACGTTTGTGATCGCTATCACAGGCCTTCTAAGATTAGGATCGTCCTCAGTGGACTCCTGTCCGTCTTCAAAACGCTTGAACCGTCTATTTCCTTAAGATTTACGCCGCGTCTAATATCCTTAAGCATTTGCAACATCCACAGAATGTCTGTGCGGTTGATTTTATTTCTATATAAAATCTAATGTGCACTCGTTTTTTGCGAAAAATTTTCGTAAAAATCTTAACACGTAAGCCCATTCACTACTAACGGGAAATTCAATAATGCCCAAATTGTTGTGCAACTTCAGCTGTGTGTAACAGAAGCCCAGCTTTTTTTTTTTGTTTTTTTTTTTTAACAGAAACACAGTTCGACAAACGTGAACGACAAGCGGTCGTCCAGTGCCGTAGACATTGGAGCCACTTGTTCATTTTTAAACAGAGGATTATATAAAAAGAATCCGGTCAATTTTTAACAGTGTATCTGAATGAAATAAAACATCATAAATACATTTTTGAACATACTAGAAATATTATTCTTGACACTCATATTTATCCAACATAAATACTACCCACCGCGATTGCCACTTCGATTTGAGATGAAGCCTTCTCAGAGGCTCGGTCAAAAGCCTTTCCTCGTCCTTTTCATAGCACTTCTTCTTTAGTGAACAAATCAACGATGTCATGTTGAGGCTTCTTCGAGTCTCGTCCCTTGAGAGGGTTGAGGAACGAATGGCACCGATCAAACCTATAGGTTTCAACGTTCCGAAAGGTACCTGGCTGATTTTTGTGACATGCATCTGTGATCTTGTGAACAGGCCATGGAATGATGCGTCCATTTACGTCCAAGTTGTTCACTAATGCCCTAGGAGTTATTAAAGATGCACTTTTAAGTAGAATCGAATAGGCACTGTCCTTTTTCTGTAGTCAATTGCACCTTTTCTAATGCTAGAACCTGTTTCCCTTTCTTCTGTAGCCGCTTCCGAATTTTCTATAGAGTACACCGCCGATTTAGCGTAATCTAAAAAGGTCGTAATATCGGTGCAACTCGTCCTGCGTAAAGACACTAGCTGGTCTGTGCTCATACTCCGAAAACGACGTACTGTTTTTCGTCATGATGAGTTTGTCGTGCTGTTCTAGGAAAAACTGCTTTCTTTTTTTATTTGGTATCGAGAATAGCGGATAAGCGCATGCTCGGTAGGGTAAACAGCCCGCCAAAGTTTACCGAACTTTATTGCTCTTTTCGGTATATATATCCAATGTTGCACAGGAAAAAATTGTGACGGCAAGTAAATATAGTAGAGATAAAAACAAGCTAAAATTAAATTAGCTATTTAAACAAGCTAAATTGGATTATTTATCACCAGAAAGTAGTCCACTAATTAAAAGTTTTAGCGATTAACGACCGACCCGTTGTGAGCGTGTGAAAATCATAACGCATTTGGATCTGGATCCGCTCCAACTAAGGACACAATTAAGGCGTACAAACGCGCCCAAAGGGGAGGCTTGGAGACAAACTGCAATATCCAAATTAAAAACCAACGTCCTTCCCTCCGTATTTTTCTACTGTCAAGTGATTCTACTAAAACTAAAAAGAACCATTAAGTGATTTTAGGATGATTGTGCTGTAGAGTGCGTCAAAGTAGCCGTGCCTAAACCGATTCAAGTATGAGTCGAACCTTATTCAGGTCCGATCCTTGATCATAACGGTTAATAATAGCGAAAGAAAAAAGCGTATCTTCATTTATCTCAGCTGGATCTGAGGTTGCTCACTAGGATAGTAACAGAAATTTTTACTGATACTGCCGCATGTCCGATCGGCAACTGTTGCCGACATCTTTAAAGAAAGATGAAAAAACGCAGATTTAATAGGGCTCAAATAGCGTTTTACTGTTTAGGACGGAGGAAGCATGCTAACCGTAATAATTAAGGTAGTTGGCCGTTGTTTGCCAGCTTAAGTATATAATATTCGTAATCATTTAGTCATAGAAATCTATAGTTGAAAACAAAAAAAATCAAGAGTGTGCGCTGACACGCTTAACGCTGGCCACTGCTTCTGTTTGCAGAAAATATCGCACACCATTTGAATTCATCGCTATTTAGTGTTTATATTCATTAGTTTACGGCATCGCTCACAACGTTGACCTGTTGTAGGTTTCGGTAGTCGACTGAACTTAAAACTTTTTCCCTTATTCAACGTTTGTCTCGATTCAAACTCCGAAAGTAGATCCTAAGCGGTAGCCGGTGATTTCTCGAGGGACAGGAATACGCTCCAACTGATTTGCTGTTTTGAAATCTTTTTTTACAGAAGTACGAACAATTCGATCCTTTTCCGCTCCTTCTGACTGTAACCTTTAGGCGAAAATCGAATAAACTCATAGAGAGAACAGGTTTCCTAAATCCATAATTGAACCGTTACACACATTAATCGATGGGTTGGTCCTGGGAAAGGCAAAAAATCTTTTTTGTCAGTCCTGTTTCATATTTGCCTATTCCTTTCTTTTGTTCTTCGTTCCTAAAACTGACTACCTTTACCTATTTATAGTTGCTGTTTTTCTCTGAACATCGGCTCAGTGTTGGTATAGTTTGAACCAGAAAAACAGTGTAGAACGCCGGGAGCGCAGAGGACAGCAATCCGAAGGCATTTCTCGGTTTGTTCGGTCGAAGCAATTGTTTCGTTTGCCGGTTGGACGCATCGTACTTTTTGCGAGCTAGTAAGACATCCTGCTGCCGTATGGGCGTGTAGTAACCCATCATTCCTCGGGTACGATGCGCACTACATTTACGTCTGCTGCGGCTTACGCATTATCGATTTAACTGTTCGGAGCAAGGCAAAACTGGCTAAAAACTACGGACCGGTTTCCCCAGACAGTTTGTATCTCGTGCGAGTAGTCACAACTACTTCGTACAGGTTGGCGCGCGGCCGGTTCAGGAGAAAGTCAGTCAGGGATTAGATGGGCGAAGTAGTGACAGATGTGGCTCTGCTTTCGAAAGGGAAGCAGGCGAAGATCGCATCTACCGCTGATTCTCGCTCGCGACGATCGTTGTGCATTGGGCATTTCTCGGGTTCATTCGCAGGAACCCAGAGCCTCTCGAGTTTGCGAATTTTTACTTTCTGTCTCCAAAAGGCAGCTAAGCAAATAAATTTACAGAAAATGGTACAGACAGTTCATTACGTGATCGCGGACCTAGGCAGGAGGGTGCAGCGTACGAGTATTTATAGGCAAACTGCTACGGCGAACCACTCTTTACTCTGTGTCCAAGCTGCTGTTTCCTACCCCATAAGTGTACTGCGTATCCAGGTCAACGCATCTACTCTTCGACGTTTTTCTCTGCGCTCTGAGCCCTTCACGTTTGTGCGCATGGGTATC